CTTCGCTCGCTGCCGCCGCCGTGCGAAGAACGCACTGGCAGCGTTTGGGTTTCTCGAAGTTCTGGTAGTGTTAAGTCGGGCACGTTCCTCTCTCTACAGGGGGAAAATTCAGAGGTAGTAGATAAATAATGCGGAAACTTGTTTCTACAATTTTCGAGCATTATTTAATATGTTTGACAACTTTTTATCTTGCGCCCAAAATCTCCCTGTAGGAGGACATGCCCGACCTAATGCTAGTTCCAGATCTCCGGCGATGTGATTTTCGTCCACCGGCGGTTTTTCCTCAACGTCGGCCTCTGGGGCCCGTCACTTTCTAGGCCTCCCAGATGGGGTCTCGGAGGATCACGCCGCATCGCAATGCATCGGCGATGCGGCTCGATCTTCCGACCCCATCTACTCCGATCCCATCTGGGAGGCCTCTACACTTGGCCCTGGATCCGCGGCGCAGAGATTGACCCCGGGGAAGTGGTCCGGACCTCAAGGTCCGCGCACTGCATCAACAGCAGCGCAGACGCCGCGGGGGCCACTGCTGCCACGCGTGCGGTGGAGCCCGCCCGGCACCGGGCACGCGGTGCCCTTGGCTCTCCTTCAAGCCGGTACGACTTAAGGTTTGGTTCGATCCAGAATTCCAGCAGATGGCAGCACCCAGCGAGGAGGGATAGGCACCGCCGCCGTCGTCGTCGTCGTCGTCGTCATCGTCGTCGTCGTCGTCCGTCCTTCCTTCCTTCTTCCTTCCTTAATTCCTTCCTTCATGCCTTCCCTCCTTCCTTCCGTCTGGGCCTCCCAGATCGGGGTTCTGCTCTGCTCGTCGGGCGTCTCGTCATCAACTGAGGGAGGGGTAAGGGGGGATCAATGAGGGGGGAGGAGGAGGAAAGGGAGGAGGAGGAGGAGGAGGAGGAGGAGGAGGAAAGGGAGAAGGAGGAAAGGGAGGAGGAGGAGGAGGAGGAGGAGGAGGAGGAGGAAAGGGAGAAGGAGGAAAGGGAGGAGGAGGAAAGGGAGGAGGAGGAGGAGGAGAAGGAGGAGGAGGAGGAGGAGGAGGAGGAGGAATAGGAGTAGGAGTAGGAGTAGGAGTAGGAGTCAAGCTAGCCAGCTCGAGCGAGTCAAGCATGGCATGCCCAGTCCCACCCGCCCTCCCACAACATAAGAAGCAAAGCTGGCACAACTGGGGGCCGAAGTCACACCGGCCAGCCGGTTTGGTACAGCTGATGCGGCCGCGATGGCGGTTGCCGACGGGAACTGGCGAGCGCGTGTTGAATGCCGCGCACGCATTGCCAGACGAGTCGAGAATGGCCCGGTACACCGCAGGAAGCCAGAGGTGGCCGGAGGAAGCCCGACGGTCTGACAGGACACCCCAAAGCATTTTTGTGAAAAAGCATTGGGTTTTTGATGTTTTTATGTTGAAATGCTTGCAAACACACGGTGTTCGGTAGGATTCTGACATGAACGCGCGAGTGTGCTCTTTGTGGTATTTTTTGCACAGGATTCGCGGCCTGGGTGCATGACAGAGCATCGCGAGTGCACCGCGCGATGACGTGAAATCGCTGGATTTGACCGAATTCTTAAGATTCCTATGGTTTTCCTATGATTTCAGCAAGAGAGCCCGGGCGGGAAATTTGTACAATTTTTGTGAAAAAAGCATTGGGTTTTTGATGTTTTTATGTTGAAATGCTTGCAAACACACGGTGTTCGGTAGGATTCTGACATGAACGCGCGCGTGTGCTCTTTGTGGTATTTTTTGCAATGAATTATCGCCGTGGACGACAGGACGTCCATGTCGAGAGGAAAAAATAAGAAAAGTGTTGATTTTGTATTGTATTTTACAGGTTAGGATGGGACCACCCGGATGCGGCCCCTAATGGCCGGCCTGAGGGGGGAGTAGGAGTATATTCTAATAAGGAATAAGGAGGAGTAGGAGTAGGAGTAGGAGGAGGAGGAGGAGGAGGAGGAGGAGGAGGAGGAGGAGGAGGAGGAGGAGGAGGAGGAGGAGGGGTGGGGAGGATCAGGGGGGGGGACCTAGGGCTGCAGGAGAGGGGCACAGACAGGGCTCCCTAGGGCACGGGCGACTGCTTCTCTGATCGTCTGCCTCCCGAACAGCGGTCTGGGATTCGGGCGGCGCCAAGCACAGGGCTCTACGCAGCTGCGGCACTGGAGATGCTCGAAAAGCGCGCCTGTCTTCACCCCCCGCGCGGCGCGTTGACTTTCCACTAAGCAGCGCCCGATGCTCTTCACCGCCACCACCGCCGCCTCGTCGTCGTCGTCGTTACTTTCAGGCCTTTCAGCTTGGGTCTGAGTGGATGGGGTCGGAGTGACGCGCCGCATTGCCGATGCATCGGGTGCTGGCTTCTCATTCTCCCCACGCCGACGACGCCGATGCATCGCCGTCGTCATCATCATCGTCATCCTTACGCACTTACCTCCTTCGCACCGCACCTCCGTGAGGAAAAGAGGGCGACTGAAGACACAGACATTGACTTTCGGAAGGCCCGCGCGGACTTCTTGGATCTGCGCCCGACCCTGGCGGCGCCTCCAGCGCTGCCCCCGGCGCGCGGAGCGCGCCGGGGAGGGGGCCCGAGCGCTGTCCCAAGAGGTTCGCGTTGACCTCCTGAATTTTCTGCTGATGCCAATGTTTGTCCTTCCGCCCTTCGCCCACACCTACTCACGACGACGTCAATAGCCACAGGGTGGTGACCGAGGACTCCTCTAGGGACCCTCGGCCAACGAAGACGTCCCTAGAGGAGGGTCCAACGTAACTCCACACCTTTCTACAAATTTCCACGATGGCGCCAATTGCACCCACGCGGTTTTCCTCCCTCCCGCGGCCGCGCGTCCGCGCGGCGCCGGGAAAGCACGTCGAGCGGGAGCTGGCGGACGCCCCCGCCGCCCCTCGAACAGGGGGCGGCTCCCCCGGGAGCGGCCCCGCCCTCCTTCCCTCGGGCATCGGGCCTGTCGTGGTCTGCGCGCGTGTAAGACGGGGCTGGGATAAATCCGTTCCAGAGCATTTCAGAGCGCTCTCAGAGCGTTCCAGAACGCTCTGAAAAGGCCGCGGCGCCCGAAACATCCTCCAGAACCTCGGGATCTCAGAGACGAGGGAAGGTCTTAACTGTAAGCAGTGGGCTCTTAACCGTAAGCGTGGTACCAGAGTAAAGTACCAGATTAATATACCAGACTGGTGTACCAGACTAATGTACCAGACTCCTGTACCTGGCGCCAGATTAAATAGCGCCAGCTTAATGACGCCAGACTAATGGCGCCAGACTGATTTCGCCAGGCCAATGGCGCCAGACTAACGGCGCCAGACTAATGGCGCCAGATTAGTGGCGCCAGACTAGTTTCGCCAGACTAATGGCGCCAGACTCACTGCGCCAAACTAATGGCGCCAGACTAATGTCGCCAGACTGATGTCGCCAAACTGATGTCGCCAGATTAGTGGCGCCAGACTAGTGGCGCCAGACTAATGGCGCCAGACTCATTGCGCCAAACTAATGGCGCCAGACGAATTGCGCCAACCGACTAATGGCACCAGATTAGCGGTACCTGACTAACGGCACCACACTAATGATACCAGATTAAAGTACCAGACTAATGCACCCGACTAAAGTACCAGACTGGTGGCCCCAGACTGAAGCACCAGACTAAACCATCAAATTGAAGCACAGGACTCCAGCGCCAGACTAACGGCAGACTAGCAGCTCCAGACTACAGCATCATACTCGAACACCGGACTACAGCACCGACGCGGGAGTTTCCCCGCGGCGACGTGGACATCACGCTCATATGTGTGGACTATCATCTATTTTTCCTTCGAAGTCGTCTCATCGTCGACGTCGTCGTCGTCGAACAGGAAGTCTTTTCGAGCAGCGCTGGGTTTGAAATCGAAGCATGGTACCAGACGAAAATGCCAGACTAATTGCACCAGACTAACGGCACCAGACTAGTGGCACCAGTCTAGCGGTACCAGACTACGGTACCAGACTAATGGCACCAGTCCAGCGGTACCATACTGGAGTTCCAGATTGAAGTACCAGACTAAAGTACAAAATTAATGACGCCATACTATTGGCACCAGACTAGCGGTGCCAGGCTAGATGTACCAGACTCATGGCGCCAGACTAATGTACCAGATTAGGTTACAAGATTATACGTACCAGATTAACGGCACCAGGCTAACGGCACCAGACACATGACGTCAGACTCACGGCACCAGACCAGCGGTACCAGACCAGCGGTACCAGATTAATGGACCAGACTGATGTACCAGGCTTATGAACCAGACTAGTGGCGCCAGACCAACAGGTCTCCCTACCATTCTTCGCGCGCTTCCTTGAGATACGACGCAGCGAAAAAATCAGCATCGCGAAAATCATGCCCGGATCTCCAGACAATTTGTGTGCGTCATTTTTCGAGCCGGATCGATCTGTGAGGTTCTCGGGGCCCGAGCTTGGGCGAAAACGCCCGTTGTGACAAAATTGAGACGCCAGGGTCTCAGGGACCATCTTTTGCGTCTCTGTGCACTGAGCGCGTGCGTGTGCGCGCGTCCTTGTCCTCCGTCGGGCGCTCCCGGCTCGTCTGCGCTTCCTCGGCGTTGCTCCATTGCGTTTAAGTCGGGCACGTCCTTCGACAGGAGGAATATTCAAACATAGTGTGAGAGAGAGAGAGAGAGAAAAACAAAACAAAAATATATATATGATTTTTTGATTTTTGAATATGTTTGAACATTTGTTTGGCTACGGTGGGGGCGCTCGTTAAGGAATGTGCAGAGGGGGGCTTCAGACCCTGGAGGATTCCTTATCTGATGAGGGCGGCGGCGATACCCATGGCCGATCCACGATTGGAGTTCCAGCGGCTTCCAGACCCTGGATTCCTTATCTAGTGGTTCCTTATCCAATGCCCTCACCGTATCTTTGATTTTTCGCCCAAAATCCGCCCGTAGGAGGACGTGCCCGACCTAAGTGTGGCTCCCTTGTGCCAGCTCGCCCTCCTGCTGCTTCCCGCCCCGGGAGGAACAGCGCGCTCTGCGGCCGCGTCGCCACGGACTTTGCCGGGCTGGCCGACTACTGCGTTCCCGTCCTCACGCCCCCGAGCTTGGCACTCCCGGGGCGGGGCAGAACCTCGGAGGAGGACAAGGTACGGCAGTCGTCCATCTATGGGATTCCCGCAATTCCGAATTATGGGACGCCCACGTGTCGCTAGATTCCGTCTTTGTTTCTGGCGATCTATGGGTTTCCCAGCATTCGCAGGCCTGGCCTGCGAGTTATGCGAAACCCATAGGTCGCCAAGGCACGGATACCGCCACCCTTGCCTCGGTTTCCCTTTTGGGGGGGGGGGCCTCCCGGGAGGGCCTCGTCGCCACCACTGGATCCGCCTCGATTCTGATCAGGACGCACCCCGGGAGAGTCCCGGGGAGCAGCGGTATCGCTACTTTTGGGCTTTCCCAGAAGTAAGCAATGTTGTTGTCCCTCCCTTTCCTTCTCTTCTCCTCCTCCCTTTCCTTCCCATCCTTGAGACATCCAGAGGCATTCGGGGACCTGTGCATAGCTCTCGTCCTCCTGTCCTCCTCCCCTCCCCTTCCCCCCTCTGCCCTGACGCCCTGCAGCACGGACGCACCACCTGTCCGCTATCCTTTTGCCCATGCTTCGGCGTCACCCCAGCATACTAATATTATGTGTGCGTCGCCCCTCCAGGGGCGACGCGCGCGCCGAAAAATCTGTTAGCATAAACTCCGTGGCGGGCGCTTTCTGACCATGCCGGTCGGGAAACAATACACTACAGCATGTCTGAATCATATGCTCGGGTCGGGCGCGCGCCTCCGAGGAGGACAAACAACTAGTGCTGGTATGTCCTTCTGCGTCCCATCTAGAACTCCTCTCACCACCGGGCGTGTCGTCAGGGTGGTTCTAGTGACCAGGTGTTTCGCATGGAATTGCGTCATTCCCTGTGGTTCTAGTGACCAGAATTTCCAACAGCTGAATGGATGTAGCACAGGTGTTTTTCAATGTTCATCAGGCTTGAACTTCCCTGCAGCTCCAGGGACGGAGGGTCTCTCCTGTTCGAAATCGAGCTCTCGCCTGGGGCTCGATTCCAAATGTGGATCCCACAGCTTGAGGACTCAACGGCTGCACGGATGGATGGCGTTTCTTTCTCAGAATCGCGTTCTAGTTTCGGCGCAGCGCTAATTTTTCTCTTTGGCTCCTGCCGGTTACTTGGATAGATGACGATTCCGTCTCAAGCTCAAGGTTGTGTAACCGATACGCGGTCGCATGCCATGTGACAGTTGATGCGCATTTCAAATTACATCGGGCTATTCCCGCTGTGCAGGCACAGGGGGGCCTCAGCTTCCAGCACGCGCTCGTTGTGGTCAAAAGCAGCATCTGCAATGGCTCCGCACTACGAGGAGGGGGCTCTGGGACGGACGGGCACACTGCAGCATCGGTGGCGCGTGCAGGGCCTGCTCTGGCTCTCATCCTCCCCCATGCCTCGATCTCATCTTCCTCTCCTCCCCGCATCCCTCCCCTCGCCCCCCCCTCCCCTCATCCTTCTCCCCTCCTCTCCCTCCCCTCCTCCCGCTCCTCTCCTTCTCTCCCTCCGCCCGCCGTCCTCTCGAGCCCCTCCCCCTCCCTGGCGCCCGCATTTCCAAACAGCCACTCCGTCGCCAGGTAGGGGCTGGCATGGAGGTGTGGGCGCAGCAGTTCAGAAGTCGATCTGTTGTAAGCGGTTCATGCATCGTCTCTCCCCCGATGGCGTCGAGAATAGTGGGCAAGGTCAGAGTTGGTTTTTCCTGGAGAAGGAGGAGGAGGCGGAGGAGGAGGAGGAGGAGGAGGGAGAAGGGAGGAGGAGGAGAGAGGAGGACAGGGAAGGGCACGACGAGGCGGCTGTCCTGCCGCCCCCCCGCAGGCGTGCTGGATATGGCATCGGCCGCCGCAGGACCTGGAGTCGCTGGGGGTGGGGCCGGGGTGCAACTGCTTCGGCGAGAGGCAGCCCGAGAGGGAGACCAAGCATTTAGATGTTCCAACCTACTCTAGCCTTGATCACTAGGAAAAGTTCTGAACATCAAGGAAGTATCGAAACTGGTGAGTTTTCACGTGTCGGGCCCTGGGAGGCGATATTCGTTCGACACTTCGCCAGCGTGTCGGGCAGACACTGGTTCGATGCTTTTCCGGGTGCTTGAGTTTTTGTTTCGGGAGGTCGTCCGTAAGTACGATCGATGTGAACACCATACATCAAGCAGGGTCCATTACGATCCGATCGATCCGATTCGATATCGAGCATTGGCGGCCCGACCCGATTCGATTCCGATATGTGGGCGATGCGACTGGGGATGGGGCCGGGGTGCAACTGCGTCGGCGAGAGGCGGCCCGAGAGGGAGACCAAGCAGGGCCCATGGCGATCCGATCGGTCCGATTCGGTATCGAGCATTGGCGGCCCGATCCGACGCGATCCCGATATGTGGGCGATGCGATGTGGCCCGATGCTTGCACGGCGCTGTTGCGCATCCTGGCGCAGCAGATCCGATTCGGTCCGACCAGGCCGGGGGTGGGGCCGGGGTGCAAGTGCTTCGGCCAGCGGCGGCGCGGGAGGGAGACCGAGTTGGGCCCAGCTCGGGTGCGGCCAGGAGGGGGGGTGATGCCTAGGGGGGGGGATGTCATGACCGGGGCCATGATATCTCTCCCAGGTTTCATGGTGAATGTTTGCGATGTTGCAACTTTTCCGCCTCCTCCACCTCCTCCTCCTCCTCCTTCTCCTCCTCCTCCTCCAACGTCGAAGATCAGGGTGAATGCATCACCAGCGGGGACGATGCCAGGCAGCAAGTGCCGCCCGGGATGAGCGGCAGCGTGAGGCCCGAAAGCCACCCGGGATTCGGGGGGGAACATCGAACTGGAATCGGCGATCTGTCGCCGATAGGTCGGCGACAGGCCCCCGGGGAGGAGGAGGAGCGAGGAGGAGGAACGAGGAGGAGGAGGAGGAGCGAGGAGCGAGGAGCGAGGAGCGAGGAGGCGGCGGAGGAGGAGGAGGAGGAGGAGGAAGAGGAGGAGGAAAGGCAGGACATGGAAAGGGAGAAAGGGGCGCTCTCGGCGAGGTGCACTTGCTGGAGCGCGTCGCGAGTCCAGAAAAGCGCCGAGAACCAACGAAAACGCCCGAAAGCCTCGAACTCTAGACATGCTCGCGTCGCGGAAAAGTCAGGACGGAAGGTTCTTGGTTGTTCTCGGCTTCTTGCGGCCCTCGCCTCGGGACCGTCAAAAAACGATTCGGGACGAAACACGGGCCCTGGTCGGGCGGGTGGTAATGGGGGGTGGCTTCAAGGGGGGTAAAGACAAGGGCCCAGGGAGGGCATTTTCTTCACGCCCCATGTAGGTCACCCCTCATTGCCACCCGCCCGACCCTGGGGCAGGGTCCTGCAGGTTCCTGCGCGCTGGCCCGGGTCAGTGCAGCCCCGGCTCTGCAGGATCTCGCAGGGTCCGGCGCTCTCGCTGACCCCCCGTCTGCGCTGACCCCCGCCTCTTGAGCCGAGAGCCGCCCCCTGTTCGAGGGGCGGCGGGGGCATCCGCGGGCTCTCGCGCGACGTGCTCTTCTGGCGCCGCACGGACGCGCGGCCGTGGGAGGGAGGAACACCGCGTGGGTGGCAACTGGCGCCATGGCGGAAAGTTGTAAAGGTGTGGAGGTGATTGCGTTGAAGCCTCCTCCCCAGACCCCCGACGTCATGATTTTTTCGTGACGCGACCCCCAGAGGTCTGGACCCCTTCCCCGGGACCGGCTTTTCATCATCCTGAGTCGTTTTTCGACGGTCCCGAGGACCAGCGAGGGCCCCTGGAGGCTGAAGATAGCGAACAAAAATCCCGTCGTGTTTTTTTCACAATGTGAGGGGGTCTGGGTTTATCGGGACGTCTCGAGACTCACGGCCAGGGGAAGGGGCCAGGACTTCCAGGTTCCAGGGGCACCGCATCCAACAAATGAGGCCGTCGCGACCTCGCGCCCGAAGGCATGGGCGTGACCCCTGGGGGGAGCCCTGGCGAGGCTTACCTCTACAGGAGGAGCACTCCAAAAATAATAAACAACATAATCTCGGGACTTTCTATCATTGTTGGACTCTTTGGGGATATTGTTTGACTATTTTGTATCTGTCGTCCAAAATCCGCGTGTAGGAGGACATGCCCGACCTAAGGCGAGGCGAGGCGCGGCGGCTGGAACGCGAGGGGTGCGCGGCAGTGCTCTCACAGCGGGCGTTCTCGCCCAGGTGTCGTAGCTCGGCTCGGCATCCCCGCGTGCAGCCCCCGCCTGCCCTCTCGTCGCAGTGGAAATCGCGACGGGCGGTTCTGGGCCATTTTCGGCCTCTGGGCCCGCCCCCCCCCCCTACCCCTCCCCTTCTTCTTCCTCCTCCTCCTCCTCCTCCTCCTCCTCCTCCTCCTTCTCAATTCCTTCTCCTTATAGGTAACTCCTCCCTGTCGCACCTCGAGGCCGGTCGAAAGGCCGGGCTGGGTATTTCCGCCCAGTGCCATAGGGAGCAGAAAACCCAGACATGATCCCAGACCCCTTCGAGTCAGGAAATCACGACGGAAGGTTTTTCGCTATTTTCGATCTTTGGGGGCCTTGACTGGACTTCGGGATCGGCAAAACAACGATTCGGGATGAAAAACCAGTCTTGGGGAATGGGTCGAGTTTTCCAGGGGTCGAAGCTATCAAAAAAAACATGACGTCGGGGGTCTGGGATCGCGTCGTGCAAACAACCAAGACGGATTCTTCTCCGCTGTCTTCGGCCTCTGGAGGCCTTCGCCAGGCCCCAGGACCGTCAACGAAAGGATTCAGACGGAAAGACTGGCCCCGGTGAAAGGGTCGTGGCTTCGGGGGCCGCGCATCGCGAAGCATCAGGATGTCGCATGTCTGGGCCCTCGTCCCCTCCCCTCTCCTGCAGCCGGACACTGAGTGCGTGCCCGAGCCCAGCCCACTTGGAGCGCGCGTGCGGAGCGCCTCACGCTGCGCTGCGGCAACAAACGGATGTCTGGGCTCCCGTCGCGGGAAAGTCTCGACGGACGGTTTTTTGCCATTGTCGGCATTGGGGGGCCACGTCCGGACATGTGTGAGCGCATCCCCGCCAGCGGAGCCCAGGCCGCGTGTCCCCACCAGCTCGGCTCGGCAGCCCCGCGTGCGGAGGCTGCTCCCGCCTGCCCTCTCGTCGCAGGGGGAAATCGCGACGGGCGGTTCTGGGCCATTTCCAGCCTCTTGGGGCCCTTCTTCTCCTCCTCCTCGCCCTCCTCCGCCTCCTCCTCCTCCACCACCTCCTCCTCCTTTTCCTTATAGTGAACTCCTCCCTGTCGCACCCCGAGGCCGGTCAAAAGGGCGGGTTGGGCGTTTCGTCTTAGACTTCCTCGCCATGTCTGATCTTGAAGTTTTGAACTTGCAAGAGCTTCACGGATGGAGGGCGACCCGTTTTCGACATGTGGTTTTGGCTTCAGCGTTGCGCACATGTGTTTTAAAAGCTTACACGAGTGTCACGGATGGAGGCCGGCCTGTTTTCAATTTGTAGTTCTCGCCTTAGTGCCGCACACATTCGTCTTAAGAGTTCGCAAGACCTTCACTGATGGAGGGTGGTTCTTTTTCAAAAAGTGATTCTCAACTCAGCGCCACGCACATCCGTCCTCAGAGGTTACAGCAGTTTCAAGGATTCTCATGTCTAACGTCCCAGGAATCGTGTTTTGGCACGATGTCGGAAGATCAGGGGGGAACAGTCACGTTTATACGCGGTGTAGAAGTCCCAGAAACGGCGTTCTGTTACGATTCAAGATCGTCAAGACGCAACAGTGACGGTGATGCGCGGCTTTGATGTTCCAGGAATGGCGTTCTGGCACACTTCCGTTTTTGTCACACGGTTGTCTTTCACTCAGGCCTTTGCCTCAGTGAAAAATGAATCCGCTTAGGGGCCTATGAAAATGGAATCTAGAGGGAAGGTAGGCAATATCGTTGACGAGTGTTGGGTTTACTTTGGTACTCCTCCTCCTCCTCCTCCTCCTCCTCCTCCTCCTCCTCCTCCTCCTCCTCCTCCCCCTCCCCCTCCTCCTTCTCCTCCTCCTCCTCCCTCCTCCGCCTCCGCCTCCATCCTCCATCCTCCATCCTCCATCCTCCATCCTCCATCCTCCACCCTCCATCCTCCATCCTCCATCCTCCTCCTCCTCCTCCTCCTCCTCCTCCTCCTTCTCCTTCTCCTCCTCCGCCCTCCTCCGCACCATCATCCGGGGTGCGGGAGTGCGACGACGCACGATCACAGAGCTCCACCGCCCTTTCGGAGGAGCAGGAGGAGGAGGAGGAGGAGGAGGAGGAGGAGGAGGAGAAGTAGGAGGACCCCCGCTTGGGCGACGCGAGAAAACGAGTTCGTCTGCGCCAGCATTGGCGCGTGAGCTGCCCGCGTAAGGTCACGCGTAAGCGCCCTCGTTTCCCATGTGGCGTGCCGCGCTGGCGACCCGGGTAAGCCACCGCGTAAGGTGGCTATGCCATCTCGCACAAGACCCGTTTCTTTTTTGCCGTTCTTTTCTCCCACCGAGCGCGTTCCATTACTCGCAAAGTGCCTGCTCAGCAAAAACGTCCGAGGGACATATGTCTGCCTCCATATAGTGTATCGTGAATCGCCGGCGGCGGAGGCAGGCACTTTGCAAGTAGGTACTCTGCGAGTGGTGGAACGCGCTTGTCTGTTCTCGTCGTGGAGCCCTCGCGGCTGTAGGTTTCTGGTTGGCTTCGGCCTCCGGGGGCCCTCGCTGAGCCTCGGGGCCGTCCACGCACGCCTCGGGAGGAAAGGGCCGGTCCTAGGGAAGGGGTCCAGGCCTCCGGGGGTCCACGCTGTGAAAGAAGCACGACGTCGGAGTTCTGGGTAGGTGGCGGGGTGTGCTCCTCTCCGTAAGAACGGGAGGAGGGAGTAGAAGGGAGCAGATGTCAGCCTGGAGCCGACGATGGATGCGTCGCCGATCAGCCCCCGATATGTTAGGGCACCCACGCCCCTATCGGCGGTGAGCGGGCGATATGGGATCGAAGATTTCCCCCGAGGCAGTGGGACGGGCGAGACATCTGGGTGGTGCGCCTCCCCATGGAGGAGTCCCTGCCGGCTCGGATCGAGGAGGACAGTCCTGCGCATCCTTCGTCCACTTCCTCCTCCTCCTCCTCTTCCTCCTCCTCGTCCTCCTCATCATCATCATTACCACCATGACCATCATTATCATGATCATCATCCTTATCACCATCATCACTATCGTCACCATCAGCAGCATCATCAGCAGCATCACCATCACGAGTCCTCTCATCCTGCTAATCAGTCCTCCCTCACTCCTCCACCTCCTCACCCTCCTCGACATTCTCTTCTCCTCCTACCCCGCCTCCCTCCTCCTCTTCTCCATCTTCCCTTTCAATCCTCTGAGTAGGACGCGGAGGAGGAGCAGGGCCAAGAGGAAAAAAGAGGACGGAGGCAAGAAGAAAGAAGAGGAACACCAGGAGGGAGAAAGTGAAGGAGCAGGAGGAGCAGCAGCAGCCGAGAGAGGGGAGAGGAAGAGGCAGAGGAGGAAAAGCACACGCGACAACGGGTAGGAGGGGGATGAGGAGAAGAGGAGATGCAGAGGGGGAAAAAAAGGAGGAGGAGGAGGAGGAGGAGGAGGAGGAGGAGGAGGAGGAAGAAGAGAGCGGACTCGCACTCTCGCTGGCAGTTGTCAGGAAGAGGATGGGGACGATTGAGGTGGGAGGAGGAGGTGGAGGAGGAGGAGAAGGAATAAGGTTTCCTCGTTCCGCATCCCTCTTCTTCCCCCTCAGATTCCCCCTACTCCCCTTGCTACTCCTTCTCCGCATCCTTCCACCACTTCCTCGTCCCGCTGCTCCTCCTCGTTCCCCTAAGAACTCCCACGTCGCGATGTTCTCCCAACGTGGACCCCTTTTCCCCAGGACCGAGCCGTGTTTTGCCGACCCCTCCCCCCCCCAGGGTCAAGGGCCCCCAGGGGGCGAACACGGAGAAAAGCTTCCCCGCATTGTTTAGCTTGGTCGCGGCGCGAGGCGGCGGCGATCCTCCTCATCCCCGCTCCCTCCTGAATCGACGACCTCCTCCTCCTCCTTGACGACCTCTCCTCCGCGACGACCTCCTCCTCGACGACGGCCTCTTCATCCTCCTCGACGACCTCCTCCTCCTCCTCCTCCTCCTCATTTTGCCCGCTTCTGGCCATGGAGTGGCAGTGTCCAGAGCCAGCCCAGCTGAGCTCACATCTATGCGACACATTGCGTGCATATTGTGCGTACGTGACTCTTGGTTTTCGTGTTCAACGCTTGCATTGGCAACGCAACATGTTCGGTTATATGTTCTTACACACCATGTTATTATGGAGCCCGTGAAGGTATGCGCTAGCTCTGTATGGGACCATCGGGTGTTCTTTGGAAGACTACAAAGAGCCTGGGCTTGTTTAGCTGAGAAGGTGAAAAGCCGCAGTTCTTGGTCTACTACTGTGGGCCCTTGGAGGTGTTCTGGTTGACGTTAGAGCGTATCGGGTGGAGAAGGGCGTCCAGTACCAGTCTCTCTGACGACGCGAACTACGCCATAGACCTACTACATCTACTGCCTAAGTCAGTATGCGAGCTGGTCCGACAAGGGGTAGAGAGGTGGCAGGCTAGAACCAGAATATCTCAACATAAAGATATTACTGTGGGGCATTAAAAGATAGAGGTACGATTGCGTCGTAAATTCGTTCGTCATCCCCGTTCGTCATCCCCGTTCGTCATCCCCGCTTTGCTGGCGCGCTTCGCAAGCTGTGGTCTGGTGCGACCTGGACCAGAGACAGACAGCATCAGGCTGGCTACAGCGTGCCTGCCAGATGTGGGTGGTGCCCGGCTGGCAAGGCCACATTCGGGCATGAGTTGTTTCGATGCCCGAGCTTCTACCAGGACTCCGTAGACGAGGACCTTCAGTGGGACCCAAAGATGGACCATACGTGTAAGTATCTGAAGGGGTGTGGGCTTGCATCGAGCCCACCTGATTGGGACTGGGTCGATATACACGCATGTACCTCAAGAGGCCTCCTATACACGTTGGGGCGATTGGGAGTCCGATAGGAATACCTGGTCCACGGTGGTGTTCACGGACGGCTCTGGAATGGCCCCATCGAGGCCTGAGCGTCGACGGTCTGGATGGGGGTTTTGTCAGCTGGGAGGCAACGGCCCTCCAGTGCGTGCTGCGTACGGTCCGTTGTCGTGTTCGGTGCAGACAGTTGGCCGTGGGGAGCGCATGGTTCTCCTCTTCGCTATGCAGCTGCTGCCAGCTGTTTCGCTGGTGGTGGCTGATCTTGCGAGTCTGGTGCAGGAGGGCACAGAGTGGGTTTCTGCGCAGGCGGACGCCCAGGCTCAGTATGCGGACTTATGGCATGATATTTGTCATCGCATGTCAGGCGGCAACCGCCCACATGTTACGGGTGCCCAGCCCACGACGGCGGCCGACTTCCTGGAAACGAATCACGGCTCCTGAAAATATTTCTTGGGCGACAAGTGGGCTGACTACGTCGCGAAGGCTGGGGTTTCTACTCATGCCGTGGCCAACGCACTCGCGCTGTCATATGAGAGTATGCTCCAGGACGCCAGGATGGAGGCTAAGTTCATGGCGTGGTGCGCGTGCAAGAAGGCCCACCGTGATGCTCTGAATGGCAGGCCCTCCAGGCTCTTGCGTGCTCAGGCCCCTGTGGCTCCTGTGGGTCTCGCTGGGCATTGCATGGAGTTTCGTTGCCCACTGTTCAAACGTAAAGCCTGTTTGGCTGTGGCCAGGACACCTGCGAGCCTCAATAATATTTTGCTTACGGGACGCCCGCCGAGGGCCCAAGAGAGAGGCTCAAGGCTACAGGAGACCTCCGACTGCAGAGTGCCCCTCCCATGCGAACCTGTGCTGTTGCGACTGCGTTCGAGTTTTCTGATGCGTATCTTGGCGAAGAGGGTCCAGTGCATGCGAACGCGGGGCCCGTGGGTGTCAGTGCGCCGCTGGATGAAGCGATCGCCGAGCTCAATGGGTACCAAGTGCTGGTGACCCGCGGTGCTATGGTGTGCACCTTGTGTGGCTCCTATCAATTGTCGCTTGGACCAGTCGCAAAATGTAATTTAGGCTGTGGCAGGTGTAAAGGCCCTTCTGAGCACCACTCAGCATGTAGTAGGCAGAGATATCACGTTACCTGTGTGCGTGCTGGCAAGCTTCCCAAGACTGGGAAGCCCTTGAAGGTAGCTCAATAGTTTTGGTCATTCGCCACGCTTCGCGCTGGCACGGCCCAGTCTGACCTCACGTGTGCACGTAAAGCGTGAGGCGAGCTTGGCCCAATGCTGGCCCGTGCTCCCGACATCGGTTGCACGACTTGGCCGCTTGCTGATCCTCCTCCTCCTCCTCCTCCTCCTCGTTCTCCTCCTCCTCCTCCTCTTCCTTCTCCTCCTCGACGACCTCATCCTCCTCGACGAGTTCCCTCCTCGACTACGCCGACCGCCCCACAGGCCAAGCGGAGGGCGGAGCTGCTCACGCGCGCGCGGGGCGACGCGCACCCGGAGGCCCGCGCCGCGCTCGGCCACCTGGCCGAGCTGCTGGAGGCCGACGGCAGGGCTGGCGAGGCGGGGGCTGCGGTTGCGTCGTTTGCTCCGCTGTTTTTTAACTTCCTCCTCCACCTCCTCTGCCTCCTCCGCCGCCTCCTCCTCCACTTCCTCCTCCGCCTCCTCCTCCTCCTCCGCCTCCTCCTCCGCCTCCTCCTCTGCCTCCTCCTCCTCCGCCTCCTCCTCCTCCTCTTGCACTCCTGTTCCTTGTATAACAACTCCTCCTTGTCGCGCCCCGAAGCTGGTCGAAAGGACGGGCCGGGCGTTTCGCCCGAGACTTCCTCTCCAGATATGATCCTGAAGCTCGAAATTTACAGAAGCTTCACGGATGGAGGGCGGGCTGCTTTCAAAATGCGGTTGTCGCTTAAGCGCAACGCGCATTCGTTTCAAACATTTGCCAGAGTTTCACTGATTGAGGGTGGGTGGTTTTCAACATGTGGTTCTCGCCCCGCTAGCATTCGTTCCCAACATTTGTATAAGCTTCGCGGATTGAGGACGGGCGGTTTTCACAATCTGGTTTTCGCCTTGGCTCCGCGCGCATTAGTTTTAATGTTTGCGAGATGTTCACGGATTAAGGGCGTTTTTTTGTCAGAGTATGGCGCTCGCCTAAGTGCCGCGCACATTTTGCTACAGCATTGCAAGGGTTTCACGGGCTCCCATGGTTAACGTACCAGATATGTTGTTGTTCAACGTTTCAAGATCGCCAGGGCGCAACACTTCAGTTGATTCGCGGTGTTAATGTCCCAGGAACGGCGTCTTGCAGGATCGCCGAAACGCAGCATTTAGTTTGGCTTTGAAGTGCCGAGAATGGTGTTGTGGCACATTTTACGATATTCCAACGGTTGCCCCCCAACTGTGCAATTCCTTCGGTGGGCAAGACACCTTGCAAACGCTTATGAAGAGGGATATTGGAGGGAGGGCTTTCTCCAACATCGTTGATGAGTCTTGGGGTTGCACTGGTCCTCTTCCTCCTCCTCCTCCTCCTCCTCCTCCTCTTCCTCTTCATCGTCCTCCTCCTCTTCTCTCATCCTCATCATCAGCATCAGCATCATCATCACCACCCTCTTCTTCCTCCTCCTCCTCCTCCTCCTCAATCGAACAGGATGTTCTGCCGCCGTTTGGCTTCAGCGCCAGCGCGGACTAAACATATATGAATGATTGGCAAGCCTGGCATCTACGTCTGATTGCCGCAATGCTCTCTTTCGTCAAGCTTCCAAGCCCCACAATTCTAGTTGGCAGCGAAGCTGGGAACGATCCCAGCTCGCGATCCACAAAAAGCGCGCAGAGTGCGATGTGGACGATATTCGCACCTCCCTTCACCTCCGCATTGGTACCACCCTCCAATGCCCAAACAGCTTGTGCCTATAGCTGTTCTGCAAGTCTTTGGACAATTCGCCCTGGACGTGCACAAACAATCAACATCGTTCGAGTCGTTGTGGCGAATTGGCTGCCAGCCAACAAATACGTTGTTCCAACCCTACGGTAACCGACACCCAACCACGGAGCCAGATGGTTCGGGGTGAGAGCCAGCCCTGAGGAAAGATCCAGACCTCCTGGGGTCAACGTTGAAAAAGTCACGACGTCGGAGTTATGGGACCCCCTCCTCCTCCCCCTCCTTCCTCCCCCCTCTCTTCCCCCCTCCTCCCTCCTCCCTCCTCCGCCCTCCCTCTTCCGAGGCGGAGCTGTTGCTGCGCCACCTGCTGGACAGGCAGCCGCGCCACCAAATGGGCTTGACATGCACCCATGGCCCCATTCAAAATCGTGCGGGAGCTGATTCCCCTCCAAACCCTTCCTTTAACGCCGAGCTCCCGGTCTTCCTCCTCCACAGGCTCGCGTCGGGCAGCGGGTCACGTTCGGCGGCGGCGTCGGCGTCCGTGGCGGCGTCCTCCTCGGTCGAGCGTCGGGGCTCCAGGTCTGGGGGCGTTTGGCTTGGCATCGTTCGGACGTGTGCGCTTCCATCGAGGAGCATTCTTTGATCATGTTGCGGAAAAATCAACGCACGACATCGAAGCACTCACGGGGAATGGACGTCCGAGCGAAGGCAATCCGGGGAAGTTCTTCGGAAGCCTCTGGGGAAGTTCTTCGTCGCAAAGGGCAGGAGCCGCCCCAAAGTTTTGGCCATAGCGCACCAGGGGGCAGTTGGGGGGGGGGGGGACCCCCGAGCCTGGACCTCCTCCCTCCTTCTCTTGATCCTCCGTCTTCGGCAGTCTTTTCCTCGTCTTCCCTCTCCTCCTCCTCCTCCTACTCCTCCTACTCCTCCTCCTTCTCCTTCTCCTCCTCCTCCTCCTCCTCCTCCTCCTCCTCCGTAGCCATTTTGGCTCAAGGCTCATGCTTTTGCGGGCTGGGCCCGTATTGGCTTCCACGGATGCTAGTCCGCGGCAGTGCCAGAGCGCTTGCGCTCGACAGCGTTCCGCCTACACCGAGGGGTTGGGCTCCCTCATCAGTTTTGTCGCCACGGCCGGGCTGCCTGGCTGCGGTACGGCCATCACTGCTTTTGTCTCTCGTTCTGTGCGGGCATCATGGCGCCGCCGAAGGGTGCTGCGGCAAGAGACAGGGCAGCACGGGCCAAGCGATGGGTGTGCAGGCACTGCACACACGAGAAAACTGGCGAGCCTTGGCACAATCATGCAGATGTTGTTTCTTGCTTCTTGTGTGGTGGGGCCAAGGGACGCGTCTACAAGTGCGATCTACCTTCTCCTACGCCCAGTGTTCGTGCTCCTGCTGCTGGGGGCAATGCACGGGCGGCGCTGGATGCTAAGGATAAGGAGTTGGCGGCCCTTCGGAAGCAGGTGCAGCAGCTGTCTCGGACCAGGCCGACCGAGAACGTGCAGCAATCGCCTCCGCAGTCTGATGCAGCCACCACTAAGGACGACGCCCAGGGCAAGCAGCAGGAGCTGGATGCGCTGGAGCAGGTTGTGGCCTCCCTCGAGCTGGCGGCCAAAGTCAAAGGCGTTGCCCCGCAGACGGTCATTGGCTACGAGGAAGCTCAAACATCTCTCCGACAGTTGCGGCAGGAGATCCACGATGCTAAGCCGTTGGGTGCGCAGGTGCATGGCATTGGCAATAAGATTCAGAAGGCAGATCAGCAGATTGCGAAGCTCAAGGCCACCATCGAGTTGGAGGAGCGGGCCATTGCTGAGAAGCAAACTTTGGTGGTTGATCTCAAGCAGCAGCTGGAGACCAAAGAAAAGGCTCGGGTGCAGATGCAGAGGGAGCAGATGGAGTTGTTGCGTACTCGTACACCTGAGCAGGTCACTCAAGCTCCTGAAGGCAGCGACCAGGCGGTCTTCGACACTTTCACGGCCGGTCTGGAGCAGCTGCAGAGCCTGGTTCAGTCCCTTGGTGGCGGCGAGCAGTTGGCTGCCAGCTGCGCCCAGTTCGTGGAGCCCTGGCTTGAGCAGGTTCGGAAGCAGCGAACCGAACAGCAAGAGCAGCTTCGCGCGCAGCAGCAGCAGCCACAGCAGCAGCAGCGACCTCCTGAGCCGCCACAGCAGCAAGCTGAGCAGCCTGCTCGGCCCCAGCATGTTGACATGCCTGTACCTGAAGACATGGACCTGGAAGAGCTTCGGACCTTTGTGGCTGATGCTGGGCTGGAAGCTAGCGCTGATGAGACGGAGCTGCGTGCCCAGGCCAAGCGCCAGCTGGACTCGTGCCAGAAGCTGCTGGCCAAGAAGCTCAAGGTCGCTGCTTAGGCCTGTGCTCCTGATTGCTACTATCGGCGCAATGGCAGCAGATTCCCACACCTTCGATTTCGGCGACGACTTTGAGCAGTTGGGTGCCGACCCTGGCTTCGACCAGGATGATTTCTTCGGGCTCTACGAGCAGGATACGAGAGCGCTTGGAGGACCTGCTGATGCAGATGGTGGCAGCGAACGCCTACGTGCGGATCCTGGTGCGCTGCCAGATGCTTTTGTTCCTGCACATTTTGATGACGGAGGGCATCAGGCGTCAGATCGCAAATCCTGGGTTGCCTGTGGCAGCTCAGGTTCGCAGTCGCGCCTGCGTCCACCACCCCCCAGGGCACCCCTTCCACAGGAGGCGGGGGACTCAGCGTGTGGGGGTGGGGGCGCAGGGTTTTGCTGGACTCCTCTTTCTCACGGCGAGGTCGCGGGCAGTGGCGCGACGTGGGGCAGCAGTCCAGGACACCTCCATCCAGCTCGGATGCCTGCACCACCTGACCCAGTGCAGGACTACCAGGACATGCGCCAGAACTTACGCGACTGGGCGGCCCTTTGGTTTGACAGCCACGCACAGATTCCACGGGATGGACGTCCTTGGGTCGAGTGGTGCACTGCCTTTTTATCCGCCTTGATCGGTCGTGATGCCAATATTCCTTTGCGCCAGTTGCTCTTGACTTGGTTTCCTGGAAGGAGCCTGCAAGATATATTTGATGAATTATGTTCTTCGGCATGGCGGCAAACTGAGGGACGTCGAGAGGCCTGGTTCATGCGCCTCGCTGGTCGTGAGCCTGGCGCCGCTCATAGGCTTGAGCGCAGACATTGGAGAGCTCTCGCCGAGGTCCGAGCGATGTTCCGTCGAGCGCTGGGCGATCAGGCCCCAGACGTCAGGAATTCACCACCTGATCGACGACCTAATTCAGATGATGACCAAGCGGGCGACCTTCTGGACTCGGTTATCGCGCAGCTGGTGGCGCTGTCTTTCAGGCCGACAGCTTCCACTTCAGCTACACCTACGCCTGCATCTACCAGTTCTTGGAGTGGGTCAGCGGCCACGCTGGTGGATATCATGACACCTCCGACGGGTGCGACCAGCACTGGGATCTCTAATATAGGATCCAGGCCACATGCCTCGCTGGAATCCAGCCCGAGTCGCCACGAGCCCCGTCAGAACGCGCCTGGGCAGGTTATCCTTGGGACTCTGGGCCTCTGCTCGCCTCAGGCTGACGCCGAGCGGAGGGAGGTCTCTTGGGGGGGCCTTTCGGCCTCTTCGGCTCGCGCCACCGCTGGCCCCCCTGTGCTTGTCGAGGGGTCGCAGAGGCCTGACGGGTCCCAGTGCTCACATCCTACCTTAAGTGGCATAGGGTCGAGCCATGCGGAGCCCAATCTTCCATCGGCTCCGACTGGGAAGGCCCGACGCCAAGCCGACGACAGCGCCAAGCGCAGCATGCACTCGCTCAAGGGTCAGGTTGCGACGGTCAGCGTCAGCTCGCATGGCTCCCTCTTCGAGTACATGCCAGGCATTGGCGACGACGTGAAGGTGCTGCTAGTTCAAGAGCACCACTTGCTGCCCGAGCGCCTCCAGCAGGCACAGTCTCAGGCTCGTGATATTGGTTGGCATGGGATATGGGCTGCTGCGACGCCGAGTGCTGCTTCGGCGACGGGCTCGACTGCAGGCGTCGCGATTCTGGTTCGCGCGGACGTGATGATCACCGCCCCTATCTTGGCCGAGAGGGAGGTCGTCATTGGGAGATGTCTGTTTGCGCATATTCATTGGGGTGTGCCTGGCGGTTTCAGAGCTGGCAGCATCTACCTCGATACGAAGGATGGCATGGGCCCAGTCAACACGGCCTACCTGTGGGAGATGGTCAAGGCACTCGCGAGGTTCAACAGCGAGGGGGTGGACTGGCTCATTGGTGGGGACTGGAATAACCAGCCTGTTGAGCTCTTCTCGTCCAGCTGGGCTACTGCAGCCTCGGCCATACCCTTATGCCCAAAGGTGCCGACGTGTAGGCAGGCCAATCCTGGGACTGTACTTGATTACTTCTTGGTTTCTTCAAACTTGGCAGCACGAGTAGACTCCCATGTTCGGGTGGATGAAGAGGCGACTTTATACCCTCATTGTCCAGTGCATCTGCAGGTGCTTGGACAAGACTACCCGCCATGGAGGCTCGTGCCGAAGTTGCCCAAGGAACTACCACTTCATGCCCCTACTGGATGCTCGAGGTTCCCATACCATTGGGACGCCACCAGCTTCGAGGTGGCCGACGACGCTGAAGGGCTTGCTGCTTGTATGGGCGACTTGATGATTGGGGTCGAAAGGGAGCTCACCAACCGCTACGACTATGTAGGGCCTGCTGCGCTGCGCTATTCAGGCCGAGCGGGGGCGACTTCCTTCACGTGGCGGAAGGTTGCCTGGCAGCCACCCCTCAAGCGCACCTACAAGCGCCCTCAGACCTTGGCCTGGAAGGTGGCACTCCGATGGTTTATGCACATTCAGAAGGAGCGCCACAGACTTCGTACGCTGGTCACCAGGCTTCAGATGGCCCACGTTCTTTGTGATATTGATCCGCCCCAGTGCGCAGTCCTACTTCAGGCTTTCAGTGGAGTTGGTGGGTTTCTTCGTAACATTATGCGCAGCGAAGTGGTGCTCCACCAGATGCCTGAGAATGTGCAGGCCTTCCTGAACTCTGGGCTGCAGGTTTTGGTCGCACCTGGATTCGAGGACCTCCTGCGCTCGGCCGGGAACGAGGCCACTCGGCTGCGCAAGGAGGACCAGCGTGAATCCTACCGAGCTTGGATGCAGTTCCAGCGTAAGGCCTTTCAGTCAGGGGCCTCCATTGCTCACCGCGTCACCAAGGTGCGGCCGCTGGAGCAGGTTGTCGCATTTCAACGACGCCCTGCAGATGCTCAGCCACAGGCTCTGGCGAATCGGGACATGAGGACTTGGGTTGATGTATGGACTCATCATGGCTGCCTACCAGTCCAGCCTCCTCTTGAGGCCGCGGAGCGGCCATGTCTTCCGAAGCTGGACGCCGACACTTTGAGGGAGGTGATACTGACATTCCCTAGAAAAACCCCGACGGGGCCCTGTGCATTACACCCACGCTTGTTGTGGCACCTGTCAGATGAGTCGCTTGAGATGCTGGGCAGTTTCTTTGCAAGTTGCGAGCAACTGCTCGCATGGCCTGCAGATCGGCTCTGGTCGATGATGTGTCGTATCCCCAAGGCTGATGAGGGACATCGCCTGATTGCGGTGGTCCACACTTTCCAGCGCATTTGGGGCAGGGCTCGACGTGGCATCTCTCGGCAGCGGGAGCAGCAGCATCGCACGGACAATGTGTGGGGCAACAGGTCCCGCTACACTTCGTCGGACAGCGCTTTCAGCCACAACCTGGACTCGGAGGTGGCTGTGCTGAGGGGCCAGTTCAGTGCGACGGTCCTACTGGATCTCACGAAGGCATTCGACATGGCGCGGCCGTCGCAACTGTTTCGCGAGGGCTGCTTGCTTGGCTATCCGCCGAGGATGCTGTACATGTTGCTCAAGATGTACGCCCAGCCGAGGAGCCTCAAGGGGTACGGCACTTTCTCCGACATGGTGCAGGTGGACCAAGGCATTCTGGCTGGATGCGCGCATGCCGTCTGTATGCTTGAGTGCCTCACGTTACGTGCCATCCTACGCTTGCGTGACAACTATGCTGGAGTTGTGCCACGGGCTCTTGTTGATGATGTTTCGGTCCAGTACGTTGGGCCTGACCCAAAGGGCCTACTTGCGCTTGATTTGGCTGTGAATCAGGATGGATCGAGAGTGTTTGGGTCTTGCTTTAATGACAAGAAGTCGGGACTGGTTGCCGCGACGGAGGCTTCTCGTCAGATTTTGCGAGGCTCTAAGTTTGCACATCGGCCGTGGATGCGTAACCTCGGCCACGAGACTTTCGGCATTCGCCCTATTCGGTTGCAAGAGAAGGCCCGCTCTCGTGATCTCCAGAAGCGACGTCATCGTCTCCATCTGTTTCGCCAAGTTGTTGGTCGTAAGAACTCAGTGATCTGGCGGGCAGGAGCACAACCAGCTGTGGCTCATGGTGCAGGCGTTTCGGGCATGACCGACTCAGCTCTTGTCACGGCCAGGTCAGTCGTTGCTACCGTGGTGGGGGCACCGCCGAGAGCGCACAAGACGGCCTATTTGTACTGTCAGTGGCAGGTGCGTTACGATCCTATTTTTGATGCGACGACGGCGCTGTTGTGTCGGCTTCATTGCTTTATCTGGGATGCACGTGTGCCCCTCAGTGCGCTTCGACATGCATGGTTGAGTTTGGCAGAGCGTGTTAACGACAAAGGGCTGACCTGGGCGGCGGTCCGCGGCCCACTGAGTGCTGCCTGGCTCACACTTAACAGAATTGGCTGGACATTTCTTGGACCTCATCACTGGCGTAGCGACCAAGGTGAGGACTTCGATCTTCTGCGAGTGGCACCAGCCGACATGAAGGTTTTTCTTGAAGAATCGATCAAGCGGTGGCAGGTGCAGCGGCTGGCTTATCACTTGCCTGTGCAGGAGGCGTCTCACGATGTCTGGGAACGGGCTCTTCGACTTGGGCTTCGTGACTTGAGGCAGGCGCCGCTTGGAGCGCTGAGGGCACTGTGGGCTGATCGGTACCCCACTGCTGCCCGCCTTGCTGCATGGGGAAAAGATGTGAAGGTGCACTGTGCAGCCTGTCAGTCAGATGATGGATCTCTCGGGCATGTTTGGCATGAATGTCCCAGCTTGTTGCAGCCCGATGAGAGCGAGGAGGCTTCTGGTGTTGAGGTTTTGTGTGGGCGACACGCTTCTCATCGGGATGCTCTGCGAGCTCTTGGACACCGCCCCCCGCTCGATCCTGAGTTTGACAGACTATATTTTAGTTATGGTTTTCCGAGGCTCTCGATCCAGCTTCCATCCCCGCCTGAATCTTCGGTGGTCTGGGAGTGGGGTGACGTTGGGGGTGAGTGGGGGCCTGTTACTTTCGGGGATGGAAGCGCACAGCACCCCGCCGTGCCTGAAGTTAGGCGCGCAGGGTGGGCCATAGTTCAGCTCAACGATGCGCTCCTCCCTGTTCGTGCGGTGTTTGGATCCCTGGAGGGTGCTGTCCAGACCGTGGGCAGAGCGGAGAGAACTGCGCTCCTGCATGCCATGACGCGTAATCCCAGCTTGGAGGTTTTTGTTTCGGATTTGCGTTCTCTGGTTCAGGAAGGCTTGTCTTGGGACCCTGAATTGGCGTGCGGAATGAACAGATACGCTGCCATTTGGAGGAGTGTCTTTGAGTTGGCGCAGCGTGGGCCCGCCCAGGACCCCCCCCCCCCTCACTTCGTCTGGACCCCTGCTCACCTCTCTCTCGAGGAAGTCCTGGAGCGAAAGCTGGACCCGATAACTTGGATCGGGAATGATTGGGCCGACCTGTTTGCCAAGCTAGCGTCGACAAGGGTCATGATAGCTAGAACGACGGCCGAGGCGGTCGCAGGCGAACTCAAGTTTCATCGTGCTACCATCGATTATATTTCTTGGGCTGCTGCCAGGCTCGCTCGACTCCGACGGCGGACCTCGCTGCCGCCGCCGTCGAGAGTGTGTCGACCCCAGCCTGCGCCGCAGCTCAGCTTGCATGGTCGCTCTTTTTCCTTGACCCTGATACAGGGGAGGTGAGATGTATCTCATGTTTTGTCGGGGCCTGGACCTGCAGCACATTGGCGCATCTGTGCAACGGCCCCTCCAAGTTTTGCCGACCCTCGGCCCTTTCAGCCCTCAAGGGGCAAGAGTGGTTGCGGGTGCGAAATCGAGCGCGGCCTGTGAAGGCCGCGGCTGTGGTCGAAGCGGACCAGGCCCTTGTGGCTGAGGGTCTGCTGCCGCCCCTTCCTCCCCCTGGAAACCCCTCGGGAAACGAGAGAGAGAGAGGCGGCCATCTGTGATTTTGAGTCGAGAGGTCACACGATTGAGAAGTATGATCGCGTGATGATTTGCTCCATCTGCGCTGGCTTTGCGTTGCTCCCGCACGGTGTCCCTCGTGCTCTGATGGCCAAGTGTCAGGGCGCATCCAAGGTTCCATCAACCAGGGACAAGCAGCTGCGGAAGCTTTCCAAGGCCTCCAGAGGCCTGCACCCTTCTACGGGGGAGGTCCTATCCTGTGCGCAGGGCCCCTCTCCCTCCTCGCCTACGTCCTCCCCTCAGGCGAATCCCTCCACGTCATCCACGGTGGCCAGAGCCCCCCGATTCGAGGAGGCCGCCACTGCCGATGGTGGCGGGGGTGGGGAGGTCGGGCGGAGCGGGCGGGGGGTGTGTGTCGGATGACTCTGACTAACTCGTTTTGTTCTTTGGCGTCGGCGCTGCTGCCGTCGCCCGCCGCCGCCGCTGGCGGCCGCCTCCTGTGCGCGAAATACAGCAAGTTCGCGCCGGGCGCGCCCTGCTGTCTCCCGCGTGCCCCCCTTTCCTAGCCTAGGGTTGTTCGTTCCCGCGCACGACCTTTTCTGTCGGCGCCCACCTCCTCCTCCTCCTCCTCCTCCTCCTCCTCCTCCTCGGGACCTGGCATCGAGAATCGACGTTTTTGGCGAGCGTCTCCCAGGCCGACCAGAGATCTAAGGCTCGAAGTTTCTGGAAGCGTCGGCGGGTAGAGGACCTGGCATCGAGGATCGAAGTTCTCGGCGGGCGCCTCAAACGCATCAACAGCAAACACAACCTCAACAGCAACGACAAAACCTAAACGCATCAACAAAAACAAAACAGGACCAATGTTTCAAACCGTCATCATCAACAACACCAATCAGTTTAATGTTGTTCGTTCTTATCTGCTCGCGTGCCATTCAACACGTATATCCCAAGCCCTCGATACCCCCCCTGTTCGTCTTCGATTGTATCCCCATTGGCGGTATATCTTTCTTACCTGCAACGTGTATTTCGTGCAGCACCTAAGGCAGGGGAAGAGAGGACGGATGGAAAGAAGGGACAAGGGGGAGGGGGGAGGATGGAGCACGAGCGAGAGTAGCAGGAGGGGGCTAAGAGCAGAAAACACGCGGCAGAACCAGCCGGGCAGATCGGGCTGGTAGACCCTAACAGGCGGGCCCAGGCGGCCAGGTCGAGCAGGCGGGTGCGCGTCCTGCATGAATCGCGAGGAAGCCTTGAGCGACATCGCGATTCCAAAAGACATCTCGTAAGGAATTCCAGAGCGAGAGCGTGATTCCTGAGTGTCGAGGGCGCGGCGCCTGAATCAACTGCGAGGAAGTTCCAAGTGACAGCGCGATTCCTGAGCGTCGAAAGCGCGACGCCTGAATAGATTACGCGGAATTATCAGGCGAGAGCGCGATTCTTCCATATGGTGCAGGGAAGTTCCTAACCAAAGCGCGATTCTTCAATACATTGCGACGAAGTATCAGGCGGGAGCAGCTTTGTAAACCGGGGGCCAGGGACACAGTTTGAGGAGGAGGATTTTCCATGTTAGAGAACAGGGTGCGAGCCACGGGAGGGGCAGTTCAATTGAAACATACATATGTAACTAGAGGGGGGAATCAGCAATAACTGTTTCTCAGCAGTGGGAGTTCAACAACAACAACAACAATTACTAGCACGTGGGGACACTCCGTTCTCACCAGTGCCAGGGTTTTCGTAGGAGGCGGGCAATACCCCCACTTTGTGGGGGGGCCGGTTCAAGCTCTACCAAATTTCCAAACGACTCTTCGCCACCACCCACACCCAGCTTCCCGCCCTATGACGTTCGGACACTTCACTTCGTGGCATGCGGACGACCGTGGCTACTATTCAGGGCCCCGCGGCCGACGACGACGGCGTGCGCGCGCGAAGAAAAAACGAATGTGTCCCGCATGGTATTATTTGACAGGGATGATGGCCCTGGCAGGTGCGCAACCGTTGTTGCAGAAGTTCGAAAAAGTTGCTCACAAAAGCCCGTTTGACAGAAATGTTTTAAAAGTGTTGGGTTTCCTACGAATCCGCAAGAGCGCGCGGGATGAAATTTTGATATTTTTTTTGAAAAAAAACATGGGTTTTTTGATGTTTGTATGTTAAAATCGCTACGAAAACTGAGGTTTTGGAAGGATTTCGTCTTGCGCGCGCGAATGTCCACTTTACCTTATTTTTTGCAAGGGATTCTTGAAGTTTGGTTATGTTAGAACAAGAAATGTCCACTTCAGCTTATTCTTTGCAAGGGAAAGCGGGCCGTAACAAAACAACCGGATCCGGACCAACCCGTTTTGCCTGAGACTTCCTCACGAAAGTGATGAAAATGTGGCTGCGGCCTAGGCGCGGCGGGGGGGCCATGCACCAGGGGCCCCAACAATAATTATTCTTTAGAAGTAATAATGTTCAACAACAACAACAATCATTATGAGACTGTTCGCTCTGACTTGACCGTGTGCCATTCAAAACGAGTTCCCCACACCCTCGATACCCGCCCTTTTTGTCTTCGATCACGCTCCCTTTGGGGGATTATTTCCCTTTGCGGGGGGCGGCGGGCTTAGACAGGCTGACAAACCTGCACGGGCGGACAATCCCTCGTGGGCGTACATGTGCCCGCCATTGGAATTGGTGTGGGCCCTGCAAAGAAAAGTGAGAGGAAGGGAGGGGGAGGGACGAAGGAAGACGGACAACGCCAGGAGAGAAGGAGCGAATAGGGGGGCGGTTGATTAGAGGCGACGAGAGAGAGAGAGAGAGAGAGATAAGAGAGGTAGAGAAAGAGAGAGAGAGAGAAGGGAGAGAAATAAAGAGAAAAAGGAGGGAGGAGGCAGGAGACGGGAGGGAGAAGGGAGGAGGAAGAGGAGGGACAGGGGATAGGGCGGAGAGACATAAGGATGATGGAAGATAGGAGGGAGAGAGAAGGGAGGAGAGGAGGGGGGAGGGAGGAGGGAGAGGGAGAAGGAGGAGGAAGGTAGGAGCGTGAGCGTTCGAGGAAGTCCTAGGCGAAAGCGCCTTTCCTGAAGGAAGTCTCGAGCGGGAGCCCACGACGGGCGGGCGATCCCCTTACGGGCGGGTCGGGCGGGCGGGACATTCAAGCGGGATGCCTGGGTATGGCGAGAGCGCGATTCCAAAATAAATTGTGGCGGCGTCCTTGGCGCAGCGTGTTTCCTGAGCGTCGAAAGCGCGATTTCTGAATACATTGCATGGGTGTCACAGGCGAGAGCGCAGTTCCTGAATAACATGTGAGGGGTTCTCTGGCGGGAGCGGGGGTCTTGATTAAATTGCGAGGAAGTCTTGATCCAATTGCGAGGAAGTCTCAAGCGGGAGTGCCGTTCCTGAGTAAATTGTAAGGCAGTCTCAGATGGGAGCAGGGGTCTTGATTACATTGCGAGGAAGTCACAGGCGGGAGCACCGATCCTGAATAAATTGTGAGGAAGTCTCAGACGGGAGGGGGGGGGTCCTAAGCAAATTTGGAGGAAGTCTCAGGCGGGAGCCGTTGTTGTTGTAATCCGGGGGGCCAGGGGCACAGTTTGAGCACCAAGACGCTCCTTGTCTAAAAACCGAGTGCGAGCGTCGAGTGGCACAATTTGATTGAGAAAAAGCAGCATGCACTGGTGATGGGGGGACCAACAATACTTATTCTTCAGACACGAGAGCTCAACAGCAGCAACAGCAGCAACAACCTGACATCGAGGATCGACATCTTTGGCGGGCGCCTCTCGGGCCGCCCAGGAGGAGGAGGAGGAGGAGGAGGAGGAGGAGGAGGAGGAGGAGGAGGAGGAGGATCGGCGTTCTTGGCGGGCGCCCCTCGGGCCGCGCAGGGATCAGGGGTCGAAGCTTCTGGAGGCGCTGGCGGGGACGGGGTGGGCGACGTTTCCGGCCAGGGGGCGGGGGGCCTTCTGCCGCCGCGGCGGGGCCGCCGGAGCCCACTCCTCGACGTAAGGCGGGCATGTCCCCCTTCAGGAGAAATATTCAAACATAGTCCAAACATATGTTTCGTTTCGCTTTTGTCGACCTTTTTTTGTTGTTATTTTTATTTTTTTTTGAATATTCCACGCTTTTCATATTTGTTGACCAAATTCAATATGCTGCGCTTGTTCATTCATGTGTGACTATGTTTGAACATTTGTTGGCTACTTTTTTCCTTCGCCCAAAGTCCGCCTGTAGGAGGACATGCCCGACCTAATCTTCGCCAGAGTGGCCACAACAGGGCTCATTTCGATTCCTCCGATTCGATTCGATTCGATTTGGTTTTAGACACGATTGCGTCGTAAAGAAATCAGGACGGGAGGTTGTTGGATTTTTCGGCCCTGGGGGCCCTCGCAGGGCCTCGGGACCGTCAAAAAACGACTCAGGACGAAAAACTAGTCCCGGGGAAAGGGTTGGGGACTTTCAGGGGCGCCGTCCCGAAAAAATCAGGACGTCGCATGTCTGGGGATGGATTTCAATTCTGATTCGATTCGACTTTAGACTCCGATTTGGATTCCGAATTCTCCACGAGGCCTTACTACTCCTTGCCGATTTCAGCCGATTCGACTTTTCCCGACTCGGCTGCCGATTTCCGCCGATCCGATTGATTTCTATCGCCGATCCGTCTTATCGATTCGATTCTGGGCTCTCCTGCCGCGGGCCACGGGTCAGGGCGCAAACGACAGGGGGGGGGGAGCGAAGGGCAAGCACTTGGCAACGACAGGGAGGGTTAGGCTCGAGGAGGGCTTGGAGTCAGAGAGCGCCCGCCTCTGCAGGACCACCAGAGAAGGGGACGTCAAGGGGTGCATCAAGGGGGGGCCCAGGGGGGGGCGTCAGGGGGGGTGCAAGTGCATCAAGGGGGGCGGTTAAAGCGCGCGGTTAAAGCTCGCAGAGTGGTTGCGACCTTTGACGCCCGCCCCTGGATGTCTGCAGGCCTGACCCTTCGGCTCCACACGAGGTGAGGCTCAGGTGGGGATGCCTCGACCCCCAATCGCCCGTCCATCGCCGATGGGGGCCCCACAACCCACCCCGCCCAGGAGCGTGCGGACTCGCTCTCGGGGGCCTGTCGCCGATCCATCGGCGACGTGTGGCCGAATCCAGCTCGATCCTTTCCCCCTGGGCCAGTCCCCGTCGGTTTTCGGGCCACAGCACGGGCCTCCGGCGGCCGTTCGAGACGACCTGGGCCCCCTTGGAACGCTCTCGGCGAAGCGCAGCTGCTGTAGCACACCCCGAGGCTGGAAAGCCGCCGAGAACTGGCGAAAGCGCTCGAAAACGTGCCCCCAGAGCCGGCCCCCTCCAACCTGCCCCCTGTCGATTTTCCTCCTCGATCTCTCCTCCTCCAGAAGAGGAGGAAGAGAGGGGAGGAGGAGGAGGAGGAGGAGGAGGAGGAGGAGGAGGAGGAGGAGGAGGAGGAGGGAGGAGGGAGAGGAGGAGGAGGAGGAGGAGGAGGAGGAAGAGAGGTGAGGAGGATCCTCCATCCTTAGGGGACCGAAAAATGGCATGAAGATACAAACGCGGGGGTCCGCGCGGACTTCTTGGATCCGCGCTGGACCCCGCCAGGGGCGGCGCCAGGGGGGTCCAGCGCCGGTCCGAGAAATCCGCGCGGACCTCCGAGTTTTTATGTTCATGTCATTCCTCCTTCCCCAAAATCCTCCTCCTCCTCCCTCCTCCTCGATCCTCGATCCTCCTCGGTCCTCCTCGACGGGGGGCGTCGGCCGACCGCGCCGCCACTCTGCCGGCAGAGAGGCAGCTGCCGGAGGGCCCCAGGGCCGCCTCGCACGCCAAGATCCGCCTGGGCGCCCTGCTCGCCAGGACCGAGAGGTTCGGGGGCAACGGCAGGGCAGGGCTCGTTTCGAGTCCTCCGATTCGATTCGATTCGATTTCGATGGACTCCGATTTGGATTCGATGTTGGATTCCGATTTGGATTCCGATCTCCTTACAGAGGCCTACAAGCCTCCCGATTTCCGCCGATTCGACTTCTCCCGACTCGGCTGCCGATTTCCGCCGATCCGATTGATTCATGGGCTTACGCCGCACCGCCGACCCCTTGGGACTCCTGGTAAGCCCTGGGGGGAGTCCTTGCAGCACCAACATTCTGTCTCTCGCTATCTCGCGCGTGGTCTTACTCGTGCACTGTGTCGCAGCCGTCACCGTCGACATAGTCAGGACCTCCATCGCCACCAGACTGCTGGCACACGGAGCACGCCCAGAGGGATCGCGATCCTCCTCCTTCCAGCCACGCGACAAGAAACCCAACGTTTTGCAGTTCTGAGGAACGCTGTTGCTGTGAGTATCGTGTTCGGTGGAGCCCCCCATGTCGCCGCGACAAACCGCCGCCGGCCGCTGCTGCGTCGCACCAGGCCCACCCTCAGCAGCCGCCGAACCAGGCCGTCGCGCAAATCTTCATATGTTTCGTTATATATATATATATATATATATATATATATATATATATATATATTCAATAATGGTATATATACAGATACATATATTTATATATACATATACACCTCTAATCTTATAGTAAACACACACGCGTACATAACATGGGCAGGCATGCGTGCACAGAGGTGGCACTGCGCGGTGCCACTCGAGAGCGTGTTTTTTGGTTCCAGATTGGGCTCGTGGTGTGTTCATTCGGCGCCAGGTAGGCCCATTCCCTCCCAAGGGGGGAAGTGGTGAGGAAGGAGGAAGCATCTTCGGTGCGTAGTGAAGCCGCCCATCCTGTTTGCCCCAGCTTCCGTCGCCAATTTCGGCCCTTGCTGCGCGCGCGCAGGGTCCCCGTCCATGCGGGGCGCGCGGCAGCCGCAGCGATGGCCGCAGGGCGTCTGCAGGTCGCTGCTTTTTTTTTTGGGGGGGGGATCGTGTCGGAGTTTTCTTGGAATGCCGTTGCGGAGCGTGTCGGAGAATTGTCGTGGTGTGGGGGTGTCCGTTTGGCGGTCGATCGGTCAGTCGTCCGTCGTTGTCGCTGTCGTCGCGGACCGTCGTTCAACGCCAACGGGACCCCCTGAAACCAGGGAGCGTAGGCGACATGCACATCAACGTAAGCAGACAGATATACGATGCAAGAGGCGGCTACTATGATAGACATACATGGGAAGCGGGGCGCCCCCCTGAGAAGACAGCTAGGTGAACCAGGGGCGCCCCCCCTGCTTGTCATGACAGAGCGCGCCCGTTCTACGCGTAGGTGATGTTTAAACATTGGGTTTCGACTTGATGTTATCGATGCGATTATCGACGGTGTGAACGTTTGTCGGGCGTGAGCAGCACTGCGTGTCGCGCGCCGCATGGCTCGGAGTGCGCCCGACCACTTAAGGCCGAGGGTTCCTGCTCGGAGCACTCGGGCCCGCCAGAACTGAAAACGCCAGGGAGACACATGGAAGAGGAGGGGAAGAACGAGCAGAACCGAGCCAGGAAGAGGAGAAACGCCAAGGAGGGGGCTCGGATGAGAAGAACGAGCAGAGGAGAGGAGTAGAAGAGGAGGAGGGGGAGGAGCGGAACAGGAGGGGATGAGGAGGGGCGCCGCGCCGCCGTTTGAAGAAATGGCGGTCGTGGCGCGGCGTCGCGACGCGCGGCGCCAGCCGCTGGGCGCGGCCAATGGCCGCGGACCGCCTCTGCCGCAGTAAGAGCAGGCGGAGGGGATGCCAGCTGTAGACCAACATCAGACAAGCTCGTGCGCATCCTGGCGCTGCTTGGGTTGGCGAAATCGCGTCCAAGGCCAAGCCTGAAGTGCGTTAGTCACCAACCCAAGGCCCATGATGTAACTTGTTGGTGTTGGAGTATAACTGGCATCCCCCGAGCCTGCAGGGTGGGGAGCCGCTCCAGGACTTGGGCGAGGAGGGGGAAGATGCACCCCAGCACCAGCACCAGCGTTAGTTGAAGCAGAAGCAGAAGCAGGAGCTGGACCCGGCGGTCATCGTGGGACTCTTGGGGCCACGACTGGTGGTCGTGGGACTCCTGGGGCCACGATTCCTGGTCGTGGGATTCCTGGGGCCAGCGCAGGCCCAGGCGGCCCAAGAGCCCCGAGCGGAGCTCGTCGTCCGACTCCCGGCCCAGCGGTTCCTGAGAATGGGTGCGCGAGTACTGGAACGAGGCGAAGCGGCGGTGGTCCAGGCTGTGACTTCGGCCGATGGGCCGCCCAACTGGGTCGTCGATCCAGTCGTCGACGCATCAGCGACGCATCAGCGACGCGCCCGCTGCCCGGCGCCCCAGGATCCTAAGGTCCAGGAGATGCGTGGACGCTGGGCAGCGGGCGCGTCGCTGATGCATCGCTGATGCATCGACGACTGGATCGACGACCCAATTGGGCGGCCCATCGGCCGAAGTCACAGCCTGGACCACCGCCGCGGCCGCCGCCGAAGAAGGGGCCCCATCGGCCGAAGTCACCGCCTGGACCACCGCCGCGGCCGCCGCCGAAGAAGGAGCCGCCCCAGCCGTCTCAGCCGCCCCAGCCCGAGCCCCGGCCCAATCCGACCCATCGGCAGATGAGGCCCCAGAAGAGGAGAAGAGGTCAGGAGCAGAAGAAGAGGAGGGCGGCGAAGGCGGCGAGGGCCGCGGCGGCGGCGCCGAAGTTCACCCTGACGGGCAAGCGGGTTCGGCATCCGAGGTGGCAGCAGCGGCAGCAGCAGCAGCAGCAGCAGCAGCAGCAGAGGGCGCAGTCGAAGTCGAAGTTGCTCTTGCAGGAGGAGCGATCCTCTTACACTTGTAAACTTCCTTCCTTCACCTTCCTCCCCCTCCCCTTTCTCCTCGCCTTCCCCCCGCCCAATTCTCCCCCGCCTCCTGAGGGGGAGGCGCAGAAGTGGATGGGGGGGGGGGGGAGATGCTGCGGACGAGGATGACCTCCTCATCCTCACTATCAGGATCTCCCCTCTTCCTTCTACCATCTCCGTCGTCCTCCAACTCGCCCTCCGCTTCTGGGGGATCGCAGCGCGTTCGCAGGGGGCGCTGCAAGGATTCAAGCGGCGCTGGCCGCTCGCGAGATGCCCGGCGAGGAGGAGGAGGAGGAGGAGGAGGGGCCCCAGAGCTCGCGTCGCGACGCCGCTGCCGTCGACGCCCAGCCAGCCCAGCCCGAGGGGCCCATCCTACAATGGTTGCGAGGCGAGGAGTGAGGAGTCAAGGACATGGCTGTTGAGCCCTGAGAGCGGAGCGGCCCCACTTCCCCCGCGTCCTAGTTCGGCCGAGGGTCAATCCAACTGATTGACAGTTGACCTCAAACGCTAGCGGATGATGAGGGACAAATTCCCCCTGCTCCACTTTTTGCCCGTCCGCTCGCAGCAGCAACAGCAGCAGAGCAGCAGAGGCAGCACTGACCAAGCCAAAACGGAGTAGCGAGCCGTTCTTGTAGTGTGTCTGTGGTGGCAGGCGTTCGCCCAGTGGCTTGTGGCTGATCAACCGGAAGCCTCGAGCCCGTGTCGCGTGCGTCTCGCTTGCCTGGGGGCCATGATATCTTCCCAGATGTCACTGGTCCGCACTAGGTCAGTGCGTTTGAGGACGCCCCCATCGGGCCGCGCAGATGCCGCAGGTCATGATTTCGCCCCAGAGACAACATCGTCCGTCAGCTCGTGCACCATGGTTCGCCAGCAGCGAGCCGCAACCCGTCCTGTGGCCAGCCGCGAGCAGATTTCAATTAGTTGTTTGCGCGCGCAGTGCATGTACATATGCACGCCCAGATGACACAGGGGCGCCCCCCCCGCAACGCAGGAATATCTTCAGAAGCATACATGTAGCGCATAGCTTAGAATTTATGTATATACATACGTATGTGTGTATATATGTAAATACGTAGGGGCGTCCCCCTCATATGCTGGTTTGTGGTATCATTTGTTCGAAGATGCTGTGCGACGTCCTGCAATCACAGGTAAACATTGCACTTCGCCGACGCACGGCGGCGAGGGTCACGCGCGCGCGGAGGCGAGCGCCGGCGAGTGGAGTTGCCGCGAAGCCAATATGGGCGAACGGAGCACGCACGCGGAAAGGAGGAGGGGCGAGGGGGGTGTAGAGAAGGAGGTGGGATTAGTGATGCGCCGCTGTTTCTCTTCCAAGCCGCAGCGCTGCAGGGGGGGCCCGACAAAAGCCTTGCGAGGATGATCTCGCAGCGCGCGGATGCCCCACCGAGCAGCGGCGGAGGTCCTGAAGCCAGCAAGAAAACCACGCGCGTTTTTTTTCTCCGGGTCAACGGGGGTGCCTCCTGGAGGGCTTCATCCCCGGAGGCGCGTTGGCGGCTTTGGACAGGTCGAGCGCCAAACCAAAACAAAAAAAACAACTCCCAACGGCCGCGCCAGGACAATCGCTTCCTAGGGTCTGGGCTGGCGAGTGTGCTTTCTCTACGCGGTCGGCACTAGGGGCGCGGGGATGGTCGCGTTCCGTCGTGCGGCGGCAGCTCCTCTGGCACCCGGGCCCCTCCTCCGACAAGAACGACCATGCGAATTTCGCTAGGATGCTCTGGCGCCGCCGTGGAGGAAGGAAGACATGAGAGTCATGGGAAGGGGAAGCCGAGCAAGGAGGCAGGTGGAAGGAGAGGGTGGGTGGGAGAGATTGCGAGAGAGGATGAGAATCGATGAGATCTCGCAGCAAGGAGGTGGGCCAGTGGGAAGAGAGAGAGGATGACATTGCAGGAGGACTCCGACAAAAGCCATGCGAGGATGATCTCGCAGCGCGCGGACGTCCCACCGCGCGGCGGTGGAGGTTTTGAAGCCAGCAAAAAAACCACGCGCGGTTTTTTCCCCCGGCCCAAAGGGAGTGCCTCCTGGAGGGCTTCATCCCCGGAGGCGCGTGGGAGGCTCTGGACAGGTCGAGCACCAAACCAAAAGTCAACGCCCAACGGCCGCGCCAGGATATTC